GGCTTAAAAGGAGCCATCTCAGAAGCAGGAACAGAAAATCCACGACCATCAAGAAAGAAGGAGTGGAACATGAGAGCCCTACTTGGAAAAATGGTGGCAGAGGCAGAAACGAAGTAGTTTGTTCCAACTCAGCAATCCTGAGGCTGTAAATCTTTACGGGAGCAGAAAGTCTCATCTTTCTCCCATGGAGAGACTAGTAGATTGAACTACTGACCTTATGGTGAGCAGCCCAGCTCATAATCCACTGTGCTACCAGGGCTCCTTGACTATGGGTAGAAGAGTCATATGAAGTAATCCACTGTACCTCAAGTATGGTTATAGTATGTTTCTCACTAATACCATGTTTGTCAACATTCACAGTTAAGTGAAGATCCTCTGAAGTTGTTAGGTGCTCTCTAGTTGATTTGTAGTCATAGTGACCCAAGGCACAACAGAATGAAACACTTGATTCTGTGCTATCCTCACAACCATTCCTATGTTTGAGCCCATTGTTGCAGCCACTGTGCTTCAACCACTCGAAGGTCATCCCCTCTACTGACCCTCCACTAATCATGATCTCCAGTGACTGGACCCTCCTGATAGCATGTTCAAACTATATGAGGCAGTCTCTCCATCTTTGCTTCTAAGGAGCATTCTGGTTGTACTTCTTACAACACAGATTTGTTCATTCTTCTGGCAGCCCATGGTTTGTTTAATATTCTTCATCAACACCATAATTCAAATGCATCGACTGTCCTACAGACTTCCTTATTCATTGCCCAGGTTCTGTATGCATATGGTGGTGGTACTGGTGGTATGCCGTCGAGTCGGTTCTGACTCAGCAAACCTGCATGGGTTTCCAAGGCTGTAAATCTTTATGGGAACAGAAAACCTCATCTTTCTCCTGCAGAATGGCTGGTAGTTTTGAACTGTTGACCTTGAGGTTAGCAGCCTAACTCTGTTGAAAATACCATGGCTTGGGTAAAGCATACCTTTGTCCTCAAAGTGACATCTTTGCTTTTTAATACTTTAAGAGGTCTTTTGCAGCAGTTTTGACCACTGCAGTACATTGCTCTCTTGACTGCTCTTTCCGTGAGCATTGATTCTGAATCCAAGTAAAATGAAATCGTTTTCTACATTATGATATTGGTTATTGGTCCAGTTGTGAGGATTTTTTATTTTCTTTATGTTGAGGTGTAATCCATATTGAAAGCTGTAACCTTTGATGTTTACCAGTGTTTCAAGTCTTCTTTGCTTTTAGCAAGCATGGTTGTGTCATTTGCATATCACACTTGCTTAATGAGTCTTCCTTCAATCCTGTGATGGCATTCTTCTTCATATATGATTAAACTTCTTAGATATTTGTTCAGCCTACAGATTGAATAAATATGGTGAAAGGATTCAAGCTTAACACACTCTTCTGATTTTGAACCATGCAGTAGCCCCTTGTTTTATTCAAATAACTGCCTCCTAATCTACATACAAGGAGCTCTGGTAGTATAGTGGTTACATCGGGTTGCTAACCTCAGGGTCATCAGTTCGAAACTACCAGCTGCTCCACAGGAGAAAGATGAGGCTTTCTGCTCCCGTAAAGATTTACAGCCTTGGAAACCATGTACAGGGTTGCTATGAGTCGGAATCTATTCCACGGCACATAACAACAACAACAATCTACGTACAGAGTTCTGTTGTGGCACTACAGGATAATGCGCTGGACTGCAAGGTCAATTTGAACCACAAAGTTGGCAGTTCAAACTCACAGCCTCTCCTTGGAAACCCTATATAGGGTCACTATGAGTCAGAACCAACTCCTTGACACTTAGCACCAACAAATCTATATATAGAGCCCTGTGTGACACTGTTGGATAAGCACTGGACCATAAGGTCAGATTAAACCACAAGATAGGCAGTTCAAACCCACCAACCACTCCTTGAAAATCTTATACAAGATGGCTATGAGTCAGAACCAACTCCATGGCATTTAACAACAACAAACCTATGTATGGGTTTTGTAAGAGTACAATTAAATGTTCTAGAATCCTCATTCTTCACAATGTTAACCATAATTTATTATGCTTTTGTATAGTCAATAAAACACAGATAAACAGCTTTGTGGGATTTGTTGCTTTCAGTCAAGATTCATCTGATATCAGCAGTCATATCCCTCATTCCACAGCCTCTTCTGAATCCAGTTTAAACTTTTGGCAGTTCTCTGTCTATGTACTGCTGCAACTGTGTTTTCAATTATCTCCAGCAAAAATTAACTTATGTGTGATATTAGTGATGTTGTTTAATAGTGTCTGCATTTCATTGGATCACCTTTCTTTAGAATGGAAACAAATATGGCTCTCTTCTGCTCAGCTTGCCAGGTAGCTATCTTCCAAATTTCTTGGCATAGACAAGTGAGTATTTCCAGCATTGTATCCGTTTGTTGGAACTTCTCCTTTGGTAGTCCATCATTTCCTGAAACCTTGCCTTTGGTCAATGCTTTGAGTGCATCTTCAGCTTCTCCCTTCAATACCATCCATTCTTGACCATGTGCTACCTTCTGAGATGACTGAGCATTGACCAATTCTGTCTTTCGGTACAGTAATTCTGTATAATCTTTTCTTCAGTTCTTTCAGCTTGAAAAATGCCAACATTGTTCTTTTGTTTTTGTTTTCTAGCTCCATTTCATTTTTCAGTCATCCTTTAAAATATTCTGTTTAGCTTTTTACTTTATCATTCTTTCCATTTGTCTTAGCTACTCTGTGTTCAAGAACAACTCTCAGAATCTTTTTTGACATCCATTTAAATTTTTTTCTTTCCTGTCTTTTAAATGACCTCTTGGTTTCTACATTTGTATTGTTCTTTATGTTATACCACAACTTATCTGTTCTTCTGTCATTAGCATTCAATGCATTAATATTATTGAGATGGTCTCTGAACTTAGGTGGGATATACTGGAACCCTGGTGGCACTGTGGGTTAGGCATTGGGCTGCTAACCACAAGGCCCGTGTTTCAAACCCACCAGCCATTCTTTGTGAGAAAGATGAGGCTATCTACTGTAAAGATTTACAGTCTGAGAAACCCTATATAGGGTTACTATAAGTCAGAATATCCTCAGTGGCAACAGCTTTGGTTTGGTTTTTGTAAATACTTAAGGCCATACATTGGCTTTTGTTGACCTATTTTAATTTTCTTAAGCTTCAACTTGAACTTTAATAGGAGCAATTGATGATCTGTTCTACAATTAAGTGGAGGTCATCTGAAGTAGACCAAGTTATCTCTGTCCATAAATTTCTCAAGGTGACTAAGAAAAATGTCAAGGATGTGCTCAAGGGCAGCATTATAAATAATGTGACTAATGGCTTGGAAAGTATTGTCCAAGCCTTCCACAGTCTTCCGTAGCAAAAACCAAATGTAAAAGCCTATAGGGTTTGGGAGAAACAGCTTGCCACAAAATGAATCTGACAAACCATGGGTGTGTGAAAAAAAAATTGCCATCAATATGGAAAGCCACATATACTATGGGAGCAGTAGAGTACCCTTCACTCTGAAAGGTATGACCTTTTAACTAAGATTTTTTTTTTTTTTTAAGTGGCATTATATATCTCACAGTTCTGTTTTATGTTTAAATCTTTTAAATTCTCATATGCTAATTAATATTGGGAGAAAAAAATGTTCTCTCCCTAGAATGTGAGCAAATTGAAAGCTTTATGTTGTTAGCTGCCACAAGTCCAAATGGGTTTTGGGAATGGGTTTTCTTGTGGTAAGAGACTCTATTAGTGTAGCTTGTGTTTAAAGCCAATCACAGAAGCAAATAAACAGAGATGCCATGTCACACAAAGATCATCATGATTGCCAAGGAAGAGAAGCTGCAAAGAGAAAGAAAGCGTTTCCCTAGCACTGGCGTCCTGAATTCGGCCTCCTAGACTCTGAGAACTGAAGTCCTAGTTGGTGCTGCAGATTAATGTGCTGAACTGCAAGGTCTGTTTGAACTGCAAGGTTGATAGTTCAAACTTGCCAGCCATTCCCTGAAAACCTTATACAAGGTAGCTATCAGTCGGAAATGACTTGACGGAACTTAACAACTGTGAAAAAATAAAGTTTGTTAAAGCCATCATTTGGAGTCCTGGTGTGACACTGTATGATAAGCACAAGGTCAGCAGTTCAAACTCACCAGTCACAACTCAAAACCTACATAGAGTGGCTATGAGTCAAAACTGACTTGATGGCGCCTAACAGCAACAACACAGCCATCACTTAGGGTATTTCAACTGTGGTATCTTCCAAAAACTAGTCATTTAGAGAATGTTGTAAGCATACATTATTGATTTCCATATTTAAACCATGACAAATCACTGTGGTAAGTGAAATCTGGGGAAAAACTGAAAAATTTAGCATATTCAGTTGATGTGGAAATATTAAATATATGTCACTTAAGGAGTACTGGTGCTGTGGTATTGGATAAGCACTGGACCGAAAGGTCAGTTTGAACTGCAAGGTCAATGATACAAATCCACCAGCTGCTCCAACGGACTCAGTGGCACTAAAGCAACAGCAAAGGAAAAGTTTGAGGGCTTTATATTTAAAGTCATTTTAACAGTGAATTGTCTAGATATCCAGCCATTGCCTGGGGATTTTCATCATCCACAGCCCTAATGGAAGGCTTACCACATTACACAGTACTTTCCTTCCCTAGGAAAGCGAACATTGGAAGCGAGATACAGTGACTTCAGATTACATTCGATCCAGCATGGTAAAAGCACGTTTATGTCTTAACCCCAATGCGCTTCCCAAAAACATTTCCAGGCAACTCTGAGGAGATGAGATCCCTTTTCCGAAATGCCTCTAATCTTCCTCTGAGCAACTGTGTCTGAAGAGAAATTCCTACCCATCTCGCCGAGCTGCCAGAGTAGTGCTAGGCGAGGGTCGGTGCTCCTCCCCGGGGCGGGACGCACCTCAAGTCGACTCCCAGCACCCTGGTAGCAAGCGCTGCGTATCCAAGGCTGCAGCAGTTTTGCGAGCCAGAAGCGAGATGTATCTCCGCAGAGTGATTTCCAAGACCCTGGCGCTGTCTCTGCGGGTACCCCAGAGCCCAGCGACTTTCCGGAAGGAAGGTGAGTGCCGGGTGCGGAGCAGGATTCTTCTCTCACAATCCAGCCGTGAGGAGGACTGGCTATTCTATAGGTGCGGATCCCCAGGCGCACCTGTACCCAGGTATAAAGAGGTCTGACCCGATCCAAAGCAACAGAAACCAGGGATTAGGAGTGGGAACCTGAAGAGTAGCGGCGGTATTTGTGGTGGCCAGGGAAAAAGCGATTCTAAGGCCTTGGAGTCTTTGGACATAGGAAACTTTTCTAGTGCGGCTCTGAAATCAAACTATATAGACATCGTGGGTTCGAATCCTGATCTTGGACAAGCTCTTTAACTTCATTTTCCTCATCTGTAAAATGGGGAAAATAGTTAAAAGTATTTAGAAAAGTGTCTAACAAACCAAAAAGTCTGCCACTTTCTTTCCTGCCACTTTTTTTTTTTTAATTATAAGGACCAATTCTCGCTCTAACAGGAGGAATCAGAGGGATGGGGAGGAAGATGAATACTGATGAAGGAGCCTGGCAGGACGTGGAAAGGATGCCTGGCCCAGTAGACATTGGGTAAATTCTCATTGAGTAAATAAAGGCAAAATTTGGCCAGCGCTCTGCAGCCTGAACCGGTGAGCGCTTGGGCTTAGTGAGTAAGCAACCATAGGTTCAGTTTGCTTTGGGACTGAACGTGGGAACGGAGCCATCCAGCTATTTAGCTCGGTTGTCATTGTATCATGTTTATTTAGATTTGGAAAAGAATGGGAAGAGGAACATTTTCAGAAACTTTTAAAGGAGACATTGCAGTGAGAGCTAGAAATAGATTAAATAGAAAATGATATACAGGAAAGCATTTATATAGTTCCTCAAACATTGTTGTTGCTATGTGCCATCGAGTCAGTTCAAACCCATAGTGACTCTGTATAGAGTTTCCAAGGAGCAGCTGGTGCGCTTGAACCGCCTACTTTGCAGTTCTAACGGTTTTGCAGTCTAGCACATTAACCCACAGTACCACTCCGGGACTTCTCCAAACACAAGAGGTGTTTTAATTAAAGTGTGAGTGAGTTTTTTTCATCCCAGCAGCTTGCTTCCGTGCAGTTCTGCCCTAGTCTGCTCCTTCTTAGTCCTTACCTGTTACCTTACTCTTGATGATGGGGGATAGGGGGTGAGGATTTTAGGCAAACTCATGGAAAGTTCATTTCCTTTCACTTTCCCTGTTTCTTCCTGAAGCTTCTAGAACGTGAATTTGAATTGCAGAAACAGAAATTTACTCCTTTGGAAATTTCCATGAACCATTCCCCACACCCCCCCCCCAATATGATTAGTCCTAAGCTGTCTTAGTGTTCATAGATCTTTATAGAGCAATTTTTTCACTGATCAAATATGGAAAAGCCATTTATTTATTTTAAACTTCTAAAGATAACAAGCTCTGGTGTCGTGCTGTGGGTTAATACACTGGACTGCAAGGTCAGTTTGAACGGCAAGGTCAGTGCTTCTAGCTCACCAGCAGCTCCTCGCAAACCCTGTTACAGGGTTACTAATTTTCAATAACCTCATATGCATGCGAAAGCTGGACAGTGAATAAGGAAGAGTATTAGAAGAATTTATGTTTTTGAGTTATGGTGTTGGAGGAGAATATTGAAAGTGCATGGACTGCCAAAAGAACCAATAGATCCGTTTTGGAAGAAGTGCTCCTTGGAGGCCAAGATGACCAAACTTTGTCTCTCATACTTTGGACATATTGTCAGGAGGGACCAGTCACTGGAGAAGGATATCATGTTAGGTAAGGAGGAGGATCAGAAAAAAAGTGGAAGACCCCCAACGAGATGTATTAGCCAAGTGGCAGCATCGATGGACTCAAACGTGGCAACAGTAGTGAGGTTGGCCCAGGATTGGGCAGTGTTTCGTTCTGGTGTGCATAAGGTCTCTATGGGTCGGTGCTGACTCGATGGCACCTAACAACGACAACAAGGGTTGGAACTCGATGGCACTTAACAACATTATTGACTGGAAATTTACATTTATTTTCAGTCACAGACATTAATTAAGCTTTTATTAATACTTTCTACTTCGAGGAAATATTTAAATTGTTTTAAAGATAAAATTTTAACTGTGCCTTATCAAATGTTCTCTACCTTTTACCATTAAAAATGTAATTCTTTAATGAAAACATATTTTAGGTATACAATAGATTATTGGAAAAACATGGCAAGGAAAATAGACAAATGAAGTCGTCTGTATTCCTACTGCTCAGAGAAAGTAATTTCCTACATTTTGGTATACTATAGTGTTCCAGACATTGTTTCCTCTTATATATTTTTTTTCTTTTCTTATTAACATTGCATCCGCAAATCTGGGATAGTCCTTTTATTTTGCTATGATTTATCAATTGATATAGTGTAAATATTTTCTCTCATGTAAGTAAATATTTTTCTGCAAGGTCTTTATTGTTTACTTGTTTCCTATTATATAATTATACTAAAATTTCTAAATCATTTAGTTTGACATCTCTCTCCCATGTCATTGCTATTTTTAAATAACTTTGTCATAATTATAGCTACTTTGTTGTTGTTGAGTGCCGTCGAGTCGGTTCCGACCCATAGCGACCCTGTACAAGGTTTCCGAGGCTGTAAATCTTTACGGAAGGAGAAAGCTTCATCTTTCTCCAGCGGAGCGGCTGGTAGTCTCGAATTGCTGACCTTAAGGTTCGCAGCCTGATTCGTAACCACTACGCTACCAGAGCTCTCTTTATTTCTTCCTATCTAAAAAATCTTTTTGATATTTGCATGTCTGGCTGAGAAATACGATGTTATATATCCTCTATTTAATAAAAAAATAGGCTCTTACTTTTACAAAGGTACAAATTGTTGTTGTTAAGTGCTGTCAAGTCAATTCCGACCCATAGCAACCCGGTATAGGGTTTCCAAGGAGCAGCTGGTGAGCTTGAATCATGGACCTTGCAGTTCAAATGACTTTGCAGTCTGGTATATTAACCCACAGAGCCACGCCATGACTTCAGAGGTACAAATGCTCTGTCCCTGAATCAAAGCCAAAGCCTCTTATCATAGCTTCTTTAGGTACTTTTGTTGTTGTTGTTGTTGTTATGTGCCGTGGAGTCGGTTCCGACTTATAGTGACCCTGTACAGGGTTTCCAAGGCTGTAAATCTTTGTGGGAGCAGAAAGCCTCATCTTTCTCCTGTGGAGCAGCTGGTAGTTTCGAACTGCTGACCTTGTGGTTTGCAGCCCGATTCATAACCACTACGCTACCAGAGCTTCTTTTACAAGGGGGGAAAAGATGCCAAGACACAGACATGTACATTCAATTTAAGAGCAAAACCATGTGAGTGAAAGATGGGGAAAGGAAGCAATTAAGAAATAGGTTAAGTTCAACCACGTTTCATAGACTCCTGTTGACCTAGAGATGAGACAGAGAAGAAGAAGCTCTAATTGGTCCAAAGTGTGGTGAGACCTGGGGACACCTAAGCCCATGGACAAGGACATAGCCACAGAGGTCTAGAGCTGAAAATGAAGCATCCAGCTGATATGAAGTGAGGGGAGATGCACAAGAATGCCCAAAATTGCAGATAGTACTCACTTGACCTAGCTTCAATGGTTTGATAATCAGAACTCGACTTGTTGTTAAGTGCTGTCGAGAACTGGACTAGAGGAAGAGTAAAAAAAAAAAGTTATTTTTTTTTACAAAGGAAACAAGTGTAAAATGCTACAATTTGATGAACTTGACCTCAATAACCAACTGAGAGGGAAGGAGTCTTCATAGCAACTATCAATCCTATCCCCTCTGCATACAGGGTAGATAGGGATGGGCAATTTAGACATTGACTACCTAAAATGAGGGGGCAATAAAGGCACGAAGTGACTGGTTTATAAGTTTTCAAGAGGGAGTTCAGTTTAAGAGTGTGCGGGGGAAGGTAGAGTCCCCACTGAATAGTTTTCATCTTGTCTAGATGGGTCTGGTGAAAGACATTAGGATAAGATTCTTATGACTGTAAAGGTAGTTTTGTAACAAAAATGGAGTAGTAGTTAATCTTACAGTACAGAAACAGAGGACCCTAGGATCATCAAGGGAGAAGAGCATGAGCAGAATGCAGGTTCCTATCCAGAGAAGCAGGGAGCTCTGGTAGCGTAGTGGTTACGAATTGGGCTGCAAACCTTAAGGTCAGCAGTTCGAAACTACCAGCTGTTCCACGGGAGAAAGATGAGGCGTTCTGCTCCCGTAAAGATTTACAGCCTCAGAAACCCTCTACAGGGTCGCTATGGGTCGGAACCGACTCGAAGGCACTTATCAACATCAACAACAATCCAGAGAAGCAGAGATGAGGACCTGGGGAGAGAGAGCAGCCGAGGATCTAGACTCATGGAAAGAGAAAGACAGTGCTGGAGGCCAGGAGGAAGGCTTGCAGAATGTACCCTTTGGTTGTTTAAATTATTACATATTCCTGAGTTCTTTTGAGTACATCCCCCCAAAAACAAACAGCACAAGGAATAGAAATCAATACTGTTGAACGATCATACATGGAGGAGATAATAATCATTGCAATGAAACGATGAATGTAAAACCAATGTTCTCCTGTGTAAACTACCACTCAAGTCACAATAAAAACTTTTTTAAAAAAAGAAGAAAAAAAAAAGCATAACTATGAAATCATTACAGATTTACAGAAATGTGTTGGATTTTAACATAAATGTTTTCTTTAATATAATAATTATTAATGTTATGAAAATTTAATTATAAAGATATTTAATTCACTTTTTAAAAAGAATAATTTCCATTGAATCTTATAGTAGAGAACTACAGTAGATAGATTTCATTTGCTAATATGAATTTCATTTGGCAGTTCTAATGGTTTAATGCTTTTGTCATTTCCGTTTACCCACACCTGCACTTTGTCCAAGAAAAACCTGATACTAAGCGTCAAGATGACAAGTTTCATAAGCACTTTTTAAACTAGATTGGGAGAATGTCAAGTGGAACTATCATTTGTCTGGCTATACTGTACTTCCTTACACTGAAGTCACTTAATGTTGATCAGTTTTGGGTTCACTAAGAGAAAAATATTTTTTAAAGATGTAATTATTAAAAATAGTTTTACTTCAGGGGTGAAGCTCACTCTGTTTAAATTTGTTTTCCTAGCATCTCTTCGGCAGATGTCATCTAGCAAATTTCCTGGATCATCTGGATCAAAAATGCTATATTTTCTGGTTGTAGGTGTCACAGTCAGTGCCGGCGGATATTATGTAAGTGTTTGAATCACTGTAGTGTTGAGAAATTCAGATATTTTGCAGCCTATGATAAATCTTAAAGCAAAGTTAGATCAGGCCATGAAATTAATTAAATATGCGACATGTTCAATGGTTTAAATGACATTAGGGCTACAATTGAAAAATACCTTACGGTCATTTTAAGTATTAACTAAACTACTACAAAGGGTTTTTTTGTTTGTTTGTTTTTTAAGGATAAAATCAGTATTTCTTAAGGTTACTAAGTATGAATGGTAGTGGTGATGGTGGTGATGGTGTGCCGTGGAGTTGGTTCTGACTCATGTTGTGTTGTTGTTGTTATGTGCCGTGGAGTAGGTTCTGACTCATAGTGACCCTGTACAGGGTTTCTGAGGCTGTAAATCTTTACAGGAGCAGAAAGCCTCATCTTTCTCCCGCAGAACAGCTGGTA